TGATGCCTTTTATCCCAGAAATTGTCATTCATTTAAGGGACTCAGATCAGTTCTCTTTGGTGTGCCCAGGAATTTATCACAAAAGTTACAACAACAAGATCTATCAAAGCATGATTTGTAAACCACATAATATTCAATAGGCTACTTAATCACTGTCATTACAGTTGATTGGGGTCACCCAAAGCTGCCAAAGTGAGTATTGCTCTATGACTATGTGTCTCAATCCACATACTTATTTAATCAACAGACAATAATATTTCATTTCCTGTTGTTGACAAGGCACCGTGGTAAATGATGCAGATATAAGGCTGAACAAGACATCGCTTCTGAAGCAGAACTTGGAAATGAAGATGAACTAGTGCCTGTATGTGAACATGACTGAAAAGTTGTGACTAGAAAACATTTGGACAGTGAGGTAGTAATGAATTATAGAGAAGAAAAAATGCTCATAGTTGTTAGGAAAATGAGACTTTAAATTTCATATTTTTTATTCTTATTATATACATGTTATATACACAAGTTACCATACAGGAGAGAGAGATGTTACTTGGCAATGATGCTGTACAACAGTACAATGATATCTCTTACAACATTATTAATATACTTGGTATCTCATGTATGGTAAAAGTATATATAACACATTTGGTGCAACCACTGTGGAAGGCGGTATGGCGCTTTCTCTAAAAGTTGCAAATGGAGATACCATTTGACCCAGCAATTCCACTACTGGGAATATACCCCAAAAAGACCATAACTGACATCCAAAAAGACCATAACTGACATCCAAGCAGATATATGCACACCCATGTTTATTGTGGCTTTGTTCACAATAGCAAGGAGTTGGAAACAACCTAAGTGCCCATCAAAAAATGAATGGATAGAGAAGCTGTGGTATATTCACAGAATGGAATACTATGCTGCATTGAAAAACAAGGAACTCATGCAATATTATTCAAAATGTGTGACCCTAGAGGACATTATGCTGAGTGAAGTATCTCAGCCCCAAAAGGACAAATACTGCGTGATGTCACTGTTGTAAAACAGGACTGACATCGGGGTGGGCGGGGAAGACTGAGAAAATTGGATTCAATAATGCATACTGCATTGAAACAGAGGAGGGAGAAAACTGTTTAAGAGGGACATGTGATTAAGTAATTTTGTCATAGTAGGAGTCCAGAGCAAAGGCCGCATGGTGGAGTGGACCTGGGGGAGGTTTGTAAAATAATGAAAGAATTTATCTTTTACTTTTCCAAGAGGGTAGTATACTAGGGGGAGGGTTGGGAGGGGAAAAAAGTGCAACAATGAATGAATGGAAATACAAAGTCTCTGTAAATTTTCATTGAAATTAATAATTTTAAAGAAATGGGGAAAAAAGAAGTTAAGCCTTTTTAAGGTTGATTTTCTGACATTGAAAACTTCACAAATTCTCCATGCAGCTATATAATTTCTGAAATTTAATCTATTCTTTGTAGATATTAATAAAATATATGACACTGTAAACATTTATATATAACACATTTGTCAGTCATTCTTTATATACAATTCCATGATACCAATTATATTAATAGTGGGGGTGTGTTTTATTTTATTATATTATTTTGTGCATGTACACCAAATCAGATCTGACTGGTACAGGAGGAGATTGTGCCTCCTTCTCCAGCAGAGCATCTGGTGGATTCGAACTACACACTTCTGGGGTTGCAGTGCAGCTTCTTGACACTAGGCCACCAGAACTCCCTATTAATAGTGTTTTATAAATATCATCAGTTTTGCATTGCCAAGGTTTGCATCACCATAAATGGATACTTATATGTCTCCTAAACAATTATTACTTCCTTTATCCTAAAAGTTTGCTTTTTCTAGGCATTAGCCCCTCTGGTCTCTAGCTACCTTAACTGCAGACACACGGTCTTGCAAATCAGCAAATCATCAACAGCTGAAGTAGCAATATATAGGGTGCTTCTCACAATGGGCAGGAAGACTTGAAGCAACAAGACTTGAGGCTAGTCTTGAATCGTGTAAGGCTTGGGATGGCAAGACCCTGGTGAGAGCGAGTCCCTGATGGTGGAGAAACTGTGGCGAGGGTGAGGTTTCTTGCATTGTGCTGGTCACAATTGGATTTTGCTCTCCTTTCTTTTGATGATGGAAGGAAAAACTGCTTGCTGAATTAAAACCAGAACCTGGACTAACTGGGGAGTTGTGCTTTAGAACTGTTGGGCCAAAACCTGGACTTAGTTTGGGTAATATTATTTGGCTTTCCACTCTCCAACTTCTTTCCCTAATGGACTCCATTGTTGTTACCATAACTGTGAGTCAGCAATGAATACAAGAATCTCTTGCTGTTGGTGGAGCTCTACCTGTAGGCACCATGGCTCCTAATCTATGGGCTCCTAATCTGCTTTCTGCTGTGGGGTGGTGAGTGGCTGTGTTGTTCTCACTCCTCTAGCCCTTTCAGACATGTTTATGGCCCTGGGGCCCATCTCTCATTCTCTTCTTTAGAGAATGTATATACTACATTTTGTTTATTCATTGAAATGCTAATGGATATTTTAATTTTTTTGGCCATTGTGAATAATGTGTCATTTTAATGGCAATGAAAATATATGCAGTAATTAATTTAGCTTTTGTGGCTTTTATGTGCAATGTCAGGCACAGGCCTAAGTATTGCATATACATATGTAAGACATATAGGTTCTTGCCTCGGGTAGCTAGCCACCTAATGGTAGTATCAAAATGGAGTTAGGAAAGATGCTTTAGTAAAATGAAGAACTTATATCAAATGTTGCACAGATGTTAAGTAGGGAACGTTAAGTCATAGATGAGATTATTAAGCATTTGAAATTTTTAGCAACTATGTTAACGAACAAAGCCAAAAGAAAGATAAATCTGTCTAAAAATAAGACAGACAAAGCTGTTTGACAGAGTGAATAATGTTCTAGTCATTTCCAAAGCAGTGCATTCCAAAAAGTGTTGTTCCTTTTACCTGGGGAATTACAATAAGACCCTAGATCCTGAGACCAAATCTAACTATTAGGGAAACTGTTAGGGAAAGAAGACTATGAAAAACAAAATTTAGGAGAATAGAGACAAATGTATCCTATTCTTCTGTCTCTTGAACTAAGACTGGATAACAAGGAGAGCTGCAGAGAGTAGGATTACTGGATCCAAATAAGGCACAACAAAGAGGAATTTTCTCTTTGGTTCCCAATCTTTACCATAAGACAAGGGAAGAATATTCCTCATAGTAGCAAGATGATTAACTTGTGATGGACCACAGGAAAGGCGGTGTTGAAAAAGAGTGCAAAAAGAGATGCAGACCAAGGAATGAATGTGCCTCTTTCTCCTTATTCTCAGGTGCACCCTACTCGTTGTCAATTAGATAGGAATGTTTAAGGAGTCCCTGGGTGGCTCTAGGGGTCAGTGCACTTAGCTGATAACCAGAAGCTTCAGGTTCAAGTCCATCCAAAGACACCTCAAATGAAAGGCCTTATGATCTCCTTCCAGTCAGCCATTGAAAATCCATATGGAACAAAATTCGACTCTGCCACATGTGGAGTTGCTATGACTCAGAATCTGTTTAGAAACTGAACATTGATTTTTCAGAGAAGTAAATCAAAATAAAATTTGAGAGTCACAGTGAATTATGAAAGAAATAGGGGAAATAAGTCAAGATAAAAAGCACAAGGATAAAACAAACAAACAACAAAACAACAACTGGCCACCTCCACCGGTGAGATTTTTTCCTTCGTAAGGCCCTGGCAATGTGGTAAAATCATTTGCCTTCCCTATAGGACAAGCAAAGTGCTTTGCTAGTAGGACTTAGTAAACAATTAACACAAAGGAATGCTCAAACTACACTTCAAAAAAAAAAGATGGTTTAAAGCTTTAACACAGAATGGTACAATAAATAACCAAAACTATGTCAAAGAATGGGTTCTGTTTTTTGTGGGATCTTTGTGTCATCTTCGTGTTCTGCTTAGGGGAAGGGAGAGTCCAGGAAATAACTAGGACTTGGTTACTGCTCTGGGCATTGTCTCTCTGGCACATGGGAGCAATAGTTTGGTAAAGTTACTGCCTTTTCCAGTTGAATCTCCTAATTTCCTGAACTGTTTTTTGTTGGGGTTTTCCCCCCATTGAGACAGTATAGTCAGACTTCTGCTTTTGTTGTTGTCTTTGAGAAGTTGTGCAGCAAAATACACACCAGTTCAAGCACTTTTGTATGTAAAATTTAGTGACATTGCTTATATTCAAGTTGTGCAAAAATTCTCACCCTTATTTTGGGAGGAAGCATTAGCATAATCTTTCAAGTTGCTGTTGTCATTTTGATTCCATATAGATAGTTCTTGCAAGATGTGATGCTCAAGGCAGACATTTTTTAACTACTTACGCTAAACTGTTGGGCTTGGACTATTTTAGGAAGACCTCGGAATATTCTGAGTTTAAGTTTAAAGTCTATCTCAGGCCAATCATTTAAAGGTTCATCTAGTCTCAGAAAGTCTAAAATCTATGAGAATTTAAAGTTCTACTCTTCATTTTTTCTCCTTTTGATTAGAATTCCCTGTAGACTTTTTTTTATCAAAATGTTCACCAATGACAACTGGGTACCATCCAATACCTCTGGTTCAGGACAAATGAAGCAGTTGTTTGGGGAGGCAGTAGCCACATAGTTCCATATCCTCCTCCCATCCCCAAGCCTCATTCGAGACAAACAGAGATCAACTGTCATACCTTGAATGGCGATCAACAAAGTATTGTAGGACTCCATGTACCATCCTTCAAACATTACCTTTCTTTCTGCTCCCCCTTCATTATTTATTGTGGTTATCACTAATTTCATCTTTATATTTCATGTATCCTGTAACAAAAATTTGTCCCTGCAGGCCTCTGTTTCTACTGGATTGAAGAAACATTGTAAACACCGGTAACAATACAGTATGCAGTATATGAAGGTGCAATTAATTATAAATTAATTCATGGCTAATCTTTCCTTTTCCAGAAACATGATTCCTGTGACAGAATTCCGGCAGTTCTCTGAGCAGCAGCCTGCTTTCCGGGTGCTGAAGCCATGGTGGGATGTGTTTACCGATTACCTCTCAGTGGCCATGCTGATGATTGGTGTATTCGGGTGTACTTTACAGGTAGGTGCTGAGACCCCTGGAAGAGTGAGGGTCAAGCAAGAAAGCTAGCCAGTAAAATTTCTTAAAAGGAGGAGATCTTTCAAACTTGTAAATGTTAGTTGCTGTTATCCACTAGTGTATGATGTTTGTAATTATGTCAGAGAACCTGACCAGTTATTTGCTCAACTTTCTTCATAAGGTAAATATGGTACCTGTAAGATTTCAGTAAGCCCAAAAAAGTACCAGACTCCCAGCAACGATAGCAAAAGTTCAACAGGGCAGCAAACAACAAATGCTGGCTAGATTGTGGAGAGATTAGAACTCTTACTCACTACTGGTGGGAATGTAAAATGGTGCAGCCACTATGGAAAGTGTTCTGGCGTTTCTCAGAAAGTTGGAAATAGAAATAATATTTGACCCAGAAATTTCACTACTGGTAATATTCCCTGAAGAAATCAGAGCCGTGACTCAAACAGATGTATGCACACACGTGTTTATTGCTGTGTTATTTACAATAGCAAAGAGCTAGAAGCAACCCAGGTGCCCATTAACAAATAAATGGATTAAAAAAACTCGGTACATTCACACAATGAAATATTATGCAGCCTTGAAAAACAGTAAACTCATGAAATATTACAAACTATGCAGAAGCCTGGAGGTTATTATGCTGAGTGAAATATCTCAGTCACAAAAGGACAAATATTGCATAGCACTGCCATTATAAAATAAGACGGACATGGGGGGCTTGGAGAAATAATGGGAAAAGAGTGGATAGATAATCAACACTGCAATAGTACAGATGAGGGGAAGAACTGTCCAAAAGGAGTATATGACATTACATGTACGACAACAGTCTGGAACAACGGGTACGTTGTACAGTTGGTGGGGAAGAGGGAGAGGAGAGGGGTAAGAAAATGTTCAACAATGAATAAAAAAAACCTAATATTAAATTTTTTAAAAATTATCAGGCTACTAACCAGAAGGTCAACAGTTCTGATTCACCAGCACTCTGTGGGAGAAAGATGGGCTCTCTCTTGCCAAAAAGATTATCATTTTGGAAACTTGGTTAAGGGTCACTATGAGTTGGGACACACTCAGTGACAAAGGGTTTTCTCTTTTAGTCTTGGTTCTTCAGTGAAATATAGCATGTATTTTCTTACTCATTAGCTCTAAGATAGCTCCGACTCAGAGCAACAGTGCAGGACAGAGTAAAATGACCCCCTGGGTTTCCATGGCTTTTACCTTTAGGGAGGAACATTGCCACATCTTTCTCCCACAGAGTGGTTGGTGGGTTCAACTGTCAACCTTTATTTTAGCAGCTTAGCCACTGTACCACCAGGGCTCGCTCCCTCTCTGTGTATATGTGTGTGTGTGTGTGTGTGTGTGTATCTCCAAATAGAACTCACTTCTTTAAATCATCTTTTATACTTGTCATAAAAAGATTTTTTGGGGGAGCTCTGGTGGCTTAGTGGCAAGGAGCTGCAACTACAATCCCAGAGGCACATGGTTTGAATCCACCAGATGCTCTGCCGGGGAAGGAGGGACAATCTCCTCCTGTACCAGTCAGATCTGATTTGACGGTACACTCACACAAAAATAATAAAATTTAAAAAAAAGAAAAGAAAAAGATTTTTTGATAACTTCTTTATGTTCAACAACAGCATAGTGGAGATATCCCTGAAGCATTAAAAGATTGGAGGAAGCCCATTCAGCTCATCTTGAGAGCAAAATAAAATATGATGGTCGAGTTAAAATTTGGAGAGTCAGTTAGCGTTAGTAGAAAGAGTTATCTTAAGAGAGGGAGAAGGTGATAGGAAATGAGAAAAGCTCGATCAGGGAAATGGGAAAGAACTTGAATTCTTTAATCAGCTGTCAGAAAAACTAGTACAGATTGAGTTTCCATTGTATGGAAGATAAAACTATGTCTGGTTTCATATGGAATCACCTACAGAGAGTGTGGAGAGTGGGACAAGTTCAGGGTGACATTAAATAGGAGAAGGGGAGCTTTCACAGCAGATTGAGATGGGACAGCTGTAGGGACAGAGGAAAACTGGGGGAGAAGAATGCCTCAGAAGTCCAGGGAAGACGTGGTCAGTGATGGCAAGCAGTACAGTTAACTCATGAACACAGAACAGAGAAGTGGCAGCTGGCTCATTAGAAAATGTAGACTATTTCAGTCGTTGGAAAGAAAATAAGTATTAAAATAGAGGCCACGGAGTAGATATGACTTTTAAATAGATAACCTGGGAAGGAGAGGAGGGGAAAACATCAAGAGTTGGAAACTGTATGGAGCAGAAATAAAGACCTTTTAAAAATTGATTTTAGTAATAGTTAATGCATGGCACTTCCTGTGTTCCAGACACTGTTCTGAAAATTTATAAATATCAACCCATATCATCTTCATGGCAACATTTAGATAAAGGTGCTATTATTACTATATTTATAAATCCAACAACGGAGACATAAATATGTTAAATAAATTAATTATCCAAATTGAATGGCAAAGCCATTATTCAAAGCCAGGCAGTTTGGCTCCAAGCTTAGCCACTGTTCTTAAATGCTACCATCATGATACCTTTTATTTCTATGGTGTTAAAAAAAAAATTACCCCCAATTAAAAACAAACAGACAACAACAACAAAAAGATTGCCAATGAAGAATTAGAATTTGAAATAATTGGGTACTATTATATTACTTAATTTCTTTCTAAATACATCCAGAACCACTCATTCAACCCTGCTTCAAGCCATCTTCATCTCTTGCCTGAATTATTTCACTGGTCTTAAGTAGATAAGTAAAATTATTACTACATTTTCAAATCTGACAGTAAGGCATAAATAGGTTGAAGAGATTTCCCAAGGTGAGTGGCAAAACCATTATTCAAACTCAGAAAAGCAGACCTAAAATTTTGTTCTTCATCCCTAACATCTTGCTGCCTTTTGTTTGTAGGATGACAGAAAGGTTAACGTCCTCTTCCTGAAAGGATTAAACTCAAAATCTCATTGCTGTGGAGTCAAAACCAACTCCTAGCTGAGTGTCCTTTGGGCTTCCAAGATCTAGGGATTGCATGAGAGGAGATTGCTCATCTCTCTCCCTTAAAGCCAGTGGTGACTTCAAATCATCAAAGTAGCACAGCTTCTGGGTTAACAGTGCAACTGCCACCGGGGCTCCTTCACAAAAGGATACCAATGAAAAATTCTGTTTTAAAGACAGAAAGCATCTAAACTCATTGAAATAAAATAAGTTTAAATTGAAGAAATTACTGTGCATCAGGTACTCTTCTAAGTTCCAAGAATTATTAGTGAAGGAGGAAAAATATAAAAACACAAATGCCAGGCTTGTTAAGCTTATTTCAGTGAAGACAATAAGAAGCAAAGCGATTATTAATTTGTTAGAAGGCGATAAGGTCTCAAATAAAGCATGGTAAGAGCTCCCAGCAGGTGAGATAGGAGCTGGTTTTCAAATAGGATGAGAAGGTGACCCAAGGAATTGACAGATGTTGGGGCAGGGAATGCACTTCTCCAAGGAGAAATTTTCTCGGCTGAGGGTACAATAGCAACAGGCTTTCTAGACAAAAGGTTAGCAGAGCCCATCACCTTCTGCATGAAAATTTTACTTTTTACCTTGTTCTTAACTTTTCAGTTCTATTTTTCTGGAGACTAGAATGCCAGCTAGGTTAATAAGTAACATTGCTTATGATAAAATGGATCGTTTGCATGAGACTATAATTAGTATTGGTGATTGTTGTTAGGTGCCCTCAAGTAGAGTACAACTCCTAGTGACCCTGAGCAAAAGATCTGAACCCTGTTCTATCCTGCACCATCCTCACACTTCCTGAAACGCAAGGGCGCTTGATAGCAGTCACCATGTCAGTCCACCTGGTTGAGGGTCTTTCTCTCCTTTGCCGACCCTCCCCCTTCATGGTATCATGTTCTTCTTCAAGGAATAGCCCCTCCTAGCAACATGCCCAAAGTTTGTGAGGTGGGGCCTCATCATTCTTTCCTCCAACGAGCACGCCAGTTGCACCCTCTCCAAGAAATATTTTCTTGTTCTTTTAGCTGCCCATGGGATGCTCTTCTCCAACACCCAGCTCAAAGGCATCAATTCTTCTCCTGTCCTCCTTATTCACTGTCCTGCTCTCAGATGCATAACAAGTGATCATAAAGATTATGGCCAGAATCAAACACATCTTAGTCTTCAAACTGACATCATTACTCCTCAGTCATTTGGAGAGATCTCTAACTGCAGATTTTCACAGTGCATTGCATCTCCTTATATCCTAACTGCTAGTACTAAGGTTGTTAGTTGTGGATCCATTTAAGGCGAAGCTGTTGACAGTTTGTCTCTTCTCATTCCTGATAGAGATGCAATCCATACTAGCGGCTGCATTCCTTGATCTTCTGCAAAAAGTGCTTCAAGTCCTCCTCACTTTCAGCAAGGATGGTTGTGTCATCTCCATAACACAGGTTATTGATAAGTCTCCCACTAATCCTGATGCCACACTTCTCTTCATAGGGTCCAGCTTCTTGAATAATTTGCTTAGCATACAGATGAAATAGGTATAGAGAGAAAAATACAACCCTTGCACACTCTTCTTAATTTTAAACAATGCATTGTTCCCCTGCTTTCTTCTCACAGCAGCTTCCTGGTCCAGATACAGGTTTCACATAAGCACAGTTAAGTGCTCTGGGACTCCCATTCTATTCAATGTCAGCCACAATTTCTTATGACCCACACAGTAAATGCCTTTACATACTCAATAAAGCACAAATATTTTCTGGTATTCCTTACTTTCAGCCAGAATCCATCTGACATCAACAAATTAATACTGGTGGGAAGCCATATCATTGGGCTTTGATAATTTTAGTGACACTTACACCTGATCATGTTCTTGACACATAGAAAATAAACCTACTGAGTTACAAGAGATACTAACTTCTCTGTATTACAAGACTTTAAGACAAAGTAAGTCCTAAACACACTTGTATTGATTTTATAAGTTCACCATAACCAAATACTAT